TTTTACAATTTCAACACCACATTAAATGTGATTAAAGATGTAAAATACCAGAGCAGAAAAGCTTTGTATATGTAGCTTCAAGGTTAAGTTCCTTTACAACTCATTTCTCTTCGCAGTTAAAGACAAGTTAGAAACCTTTAATTCCCTTTCAACAAACTTTTCTCATTCTTTAATAGATCGTCTTTAATCATCTATAATTATACTATAATTTGGACATTTAAAGCCTCCAGAAAAATCTTTAATCTGCATGCTGAAAGGAGAGTTTAGGTACATTTACTAAATTTAATCAAACTGATTAAATGTGAATAAAGCCGCCAATAACATCGCTTTACCCCTCCTTTAACCATGATGATAGCTACTGATTTCGTCCTGTGTTTGTTACTTCATGCCCGGACTTGTCGCCAAATTCTCCTCGTGATGGCGACTGGTTAAACTCCGTCCAATCGCTTCTGATCACACCTTCGCTTCGTAGCATATTGAATGCCAAATCAGTTGCTTTGGCAGCTTGTTTACATTCTTTCTTATCTTCAGCTTGGTCATACCACGTCGTCTTAACTGCTTTAATGAAGACAGGATTGATTTTCCTTGCAACGATCGTTTCAATCTTGTCCATCGATTCTGGAATATTGAGACTTCGCTTTTTGGATGGATTTACACCGTCAAGTAACGACGAATTTTCTGCCCCACGTTGCCATGCAGCTATTTGGTGTGGCATGAAACGTGTTCTTACCGTCCAACGTTTCATCCAAAATATCAATGTTATCAGCAGAGATGTGTACGAAATTACCTTGCACCAAATTTGGCGGTATCGCGGTTCCGCTTTCTTCATCCAAAGTGTTTAAAATACTCTCGGCTAAACACCTATCAAGTTGAAGAATTTGGTCATAACTCAGAATATGTCCTGCCTTATGACAAAAGTTTAACAAGATCTTTCGATCTTGTGACTTGGTGAAGGGTGCTCCCTAAGCCAATGAGTTCAGGTGTCCATTTCTTACCGTTGCTTACCTCGTACACAATATCTTGAGCAACAGCACGCGCTTTCCGGCGAACTTCATTTTCTTTTTCTTCAATCGTTTCCTCATCTAAAAGTTATTCGCCTCCAAACAAAAGATTTAGAAACAGTTGCAGACTTTCGGGAACACAATCACCGACATCGTTCATACACATGTCGAGTCCCTTATAACCTGGTGTCTCCCGCAGATCAGCTCGTATCATCAACGCCACATGAACAAGAGAGAGGAGATCGTCTTGTTGGTGATAAACAGGCAGAGTTAGTTCATCGTCTTCTTCGTCAGCGTTACCCTGCGCTACTGACTGAGACAGAGCCATTTTAGCGCACTTTTGGGGAATTAGCAAGGTGTGACGCTCAGACGGCCCTCTTTCAAATGATTTCACGCACTCTATGATGTCTCCAACCATATGCATAAGTTTGTCCTTAAAAGTCGCCCTTCGACTGATAAAAGAAGAAGGAAGCGTGTTGCCCGCTTTTCGGCCAATATTGTGTATCTTTCCCATGCGTCATCAAGTCTAATAACATGGCCCTTGTCAGCAGCATACTCCAATTCTTTGGACAACCAAACCAATGCTAAGTCATTGTCTTTCATTTCACTCTTTGTCTTATCCCTTGATCTTTTAGATGCACTGAAGCATGATAAATGATACTTGCCTTCAGCGGCTATCAAATCTGAGATACTCGCAAATCGCAGTATTTCGTCAAAGTTTGAAATCTCAATAATTAGTTCACTCATCTTAAATGTCATAACTGACGATAAGCGCTCATTCGTATGCACCTGACAGAAAGCACATTTATACCGATCAACTTGTTCTGTTTGCGCACGCGTTTTACGCGGACTTAGGTTGGTCTTGCAGACGACTCATCTTTGTTGTTCTTTTTCTCCAGGCGCTGAATTTTGTCTTTGCTTGTAAATAGGGAATAGCATTTGACATGCCAAACGATTGAAGTATCAATACAATTTATGACTTCTTCCAGCCTACTGATTGTTTCGCTGTTCCCACCATCTCTAAACTTACTGCGCAAAATCACCGATCTGCTATGATCAGTAGCAGCTCCCAAATGTTCATCTTTAAGACTTGTTTGGCAGAAATTACAAGCATTTGCGTCGTTTTTTGAAGATCTTTTTAACGTTAAAACGGGATCCATCTTTGCAGCTTGAAAGTTGAAGACCACAAGATCCACAACAAAAAATAACAGCAAAACTGAACCCATTTTTCTTATGCAATTAAATTTTAACCAGACTTTGCAAATTTATATTGTCCTCTAAACGGCGAAATATCCTCTAAACGGTGAAATATATTAAATCAAGAAGAAAATGCAAAGCCTTTTAATACATTTTACAAATCAGACAGGCGCCGCCAAGACGGCGCAAACATCTAGTCTACGAACCCATTCTCTACACTTCAGACGCTTGTTCGTCTGGGTTGTAATTTTTCTTTTAATATTTTTTTCAAAAATTATTTCCAGTTCTGTTTTCTAATATACTTATGCGACGATTGCCAGAAGTTCGAAACCCTTAAAGACTAAAAAAAATAATTCGGTTTCATCAACTTTCATTTCTCGCCGTAAAATTAAAGTCGGCTTTTACTCAAATTATTTGTTTATTTAATCGGCTATTTCGTGTTATTCGTAAACTTTATGCTTATTTCTGGTCTATTAGCTTTTTGAACAACTCACAAAGTTTCGAAATTTCGAAATAGACACGAACAAGTACGAGAGCGTCATTTCTAGTGTCAGCCACATGACGTCATTAATATGACGTCATTATCTTGATCCAAACGCAAAATCAGAGTTGGCGACCATGATATTCGGATTTAGCGTCAAAAACTACATAAAAAGACACTTGTCGCCAACTTTTACTAAGAAATGCCTCATGCACTTTAACCCTATTTGTACTGGTGTTTTTCATGTTGATATGACCGGGGGTGCGCTGATAGGGCGCACCCCTCAGAAATTCTATCGATTAACTGCCATTATCCTATAAGTTTTATTTTTAGTAAGTTTTATCTTTCTTCAGAGGAGGTCGGACAAGCAATTAGCGAGTTGTCACGTGAGCTCTCGACCAATGAGATCGCTCTATTTTCCATCGTGTTTTCTACAGAATTTGGGCAGAAAAATTTGTATTCGACGGAAAATAAATCGAGAAGAAACATTAATATTAAAATTTTCTTGCAAAATTTCAAGTGTAGTAGTACTACTGCTAAAGATCTGGTGATATCTTCAAAAATCTCTAAGGTAAACGTTATTTTCAATGTTATTTTGATGTTTGAAGTTAGACGACTCCCAGCGACGTGTTGACTCAAGTCTAAATATGTTTACAACGTTTAAAATGAAATATCTAGAATTCCCATGGTTCGATTTTCCTCATTTTTGGCAGTCGTCAAGAAAAAAATATAAGCTTTAAATCTGCTGGAATAATCTCGGTGATCCCCCGGCAGTTTTTGAGATATTGGCCATTGAAGCGACTATTGTCAACTCGACGTTCGCTAAAATGGCGTCTAATACCTTGGAAAGAATTTGCGCCATCAAAGATTATATTTTCAATAAATTTTTGTTAAAGTGTTAAAATATTATTTAGAAGACTTATGAGTTGTTTCAATATTTTTGTAGAATTTATATTTGTGCGATTTTCAAAGTTTTTTCTGTCTTTGGCCGACGCGACTGAATCGTGTACATATTCCCATACGAGCTGATCGCCTGATCCTGGGGTTTTTGTTGCAAATCGAGCTGCGGAATCCTCAGCATGGACAACTCAGTGTTATAACAGCCCATTTAAAACCAGCAGAGAGCTCCACTTGTTTAAAAACAATAAAATAAGTTTTTATTGTATTATCATGTACATCATATATCAAATTATAATTATCATATAGGCATCTTGTTGTGGTCAATTTATTGAAATTTAATAAATATTACGCACGAGTCAATTCCAGGAGTAACCCCCCGAACACACCTGGGCATTTGATTTGACTGGTTACAATAGTGCACAATTAATAGAAGTGTGCCGGGACACAACTAGGAGACTAATGCACGGCCCTTGGGCAAGCTTAGAGTAGAAAATGTCCCACCCCGGGGACGATGAATGCATATCATAGGCATAGTCATTTAATAACATTATACTATTAAGCTGCTATGGAATATTATAAAACTTTATTTGCATGACACAGGTAATAAGTTCGCAAAAGTGAAACCATTTGTCAAAAAAACCCCGGGATCCTTAGCGACTATAACAATACCTGGCCCCCATGCACATATATGACAGGCAAATTCCAGGGGGGGGGGATGGTTACTCCAGGAATTGATTTGTGCATTATATAAATAGACATCTTCTTGTTTTATTGTTGCATTAATTTTAATCTGAAAAAATTACAAACAAAGTAGGTCAAGTGCAGGATAAATTACTCATTTATTTACTAAAGCACATTTTTACAGTTATGTATTTATTTTGCATCAGTGTACATGACAGATTGTTTTAATTAGATATAGAAAGTTATCATTTATAACCTGTGGTTTGTTTAAAAAATGCTGGAAAAAATGTAAAAAGTTAGCCAATTGAAATAAATGCACTTCAATAACTTGCAAAACATAGTTAGTTGCTATTATTTACAAAAAAACATCTGTCAACGTACACTCATGCTTTTCCTACCACATGAGTCTCCCATGCACTAACCATGTCTCTACAAAATTTTTTGGATAAAATCCAATTTAAAAAACATCAACCCTATACTTGATATGCTGAACATAGTCATCCACGTAATCTCCTGCAGCAATTAATGGGTGCGGATACTTGCATAGTTCAGAAGCAATATATAACCAACATGGTGCCATCCAGTTCCATGGTCTAGATCAATTGCTATTGCCCTTGTGTCCCTTGGATTCAATGTCTCTGGCCGTATTCTTACATTCACTGGTTTATCTTGTTCATGAAGAGTGAGGTATGCCTTTTCCAAATGATGTTGATAGTGGTTCTCATGAGCAGCACAGATGCACTTGAATGGTACAGCCTGGGTGATTTCTTCCTCCTCATCACTGGACTTGTCATCACTTTCTGCCCTATCACCTCTTTCATTATCATATCCATCCTGAACAGGCTCAAGACCAGCCAACAACTCAAGTAAATCTCTTTCTACAAAATCATAACAAGAAAATTATTATTTCATGCACCATCGTCTCTAAAATTAGCAATCTTACACAAAAGCACATGTAACCTCTAAATTCTCACTATATACCTAACTGTGTTAGGTCTGTGTATTAGAACAACACACAAACAATATTTAGATGAAAATTGAAAAATATTAAACTACAGCTTGCACATTTAAACAACCATCCACAACTAGATACAAACAGGCATCGTACTCAGCAAAAATTTATAAAATACATACAAATAACAATACCTTCAGACTCATCTGGAAACCAATGTCCATCATCAATTGTATTCGCTGTCAACTGATATTATCCACATCGAAATCCAAAAGCATATGCATGACTGTTTTCATTAGCAAACTCATCAGGAATAGGGTCAAACTAAAGGGTTGAATTTAATATTTGAAATATTACGCCATAATTTGTGTATTTATAAAATTACAGTACAATATTGAAAACAGCAAAGCGGAAATTTGAAACAAGTCAACTGTATTGCATTGTAGGATACCAACCTTAAATAGTGCGCTTGTTTTCGTGTTGATGATACACGGAGATTCCATCCAACTTTAATAGAAAGAAGAGCCTTGCTATTAAGAATATAAACACAATTCCTTCGCGGATTATTTAAAAAGTTACAAAAAGACAGCACGTCCCATGCAATTTAATATAAGGTAAACTTGGTATAGTAACTCACAAGTCACAATGAGGATCGCAACAATACAGCAATAACATGCTATTTTCACGAAGTATTGCAGCCTGGCAATCTTGTCTTTCGAATGCTTCCATATTTGTTTACTCAGAGAGATGTTCACTCCACGACAGTCAAAGAGTCATTGAAGCCACGCCTGAAATTAGGCGCTCAAACCCACGATGCTTTGCGGCCTGCTTGTCCGACCTCCTCTGATCTTTCTTTAACCTAAAAATAACAAAAATGTTAAATTCACATCCAAAATGCTGTTTTTTTGGCCCCATTGAATATGACCGCCTATCCAAAAATGGCGAATATAGCTAATATTTTACCCATTTTGGTTATATTTTGTAAAGAGATAACAAAACATTGCAATTGTGGATGTGATATTTGTTGGGTCTTTTACATTCAAAAGACATACTTTTATGTTATAGCATATCTCAGATGTCCATAAACACCACTATTTTACTTTTTCAAGTTGTCATTTCCGTGGCATATGAAAAGATATACAATTGAAACTTACCAGTCTCTCATGATAAACAATCCAAATCATTTTCAAGTTTCAACATCACTGATTTCACCTTCATATCATTGTGACAGTGTCATTGTTGTATAACTAATGTTCAATTATTATCATAGTATTCACAATTGTGCACTTTGTTGAAACTCTAGCAGTTTTTTTGGCATAACTTCTGTAGTGTAAACATAAAATGTCGACCAACAAAAGTTTGTAGAAAAAATACGAAATGGCATGGTTTTATACCAATATAGTATGTGTTACATGAACTGTAAGGCAGGTGAGCTACGAGATACGAGCCTGCAGTATAGTTTTGAAAACACAATATTTACTTTATCTACGATTTAATGCAGAAGTTTTACTCTCATTTGGAACTGAATTTCTGGTACGAAAGTGTTCAATATATAATGCATCCTACAAGTCTGATTCTTGCTGAAAGACAGGGAGATGTTATGCCTTGAAGGTGCAAAGAAATATGTGTATTTGAATATAAAAATATTATAAATAATTATTTTATATATAAGTATTTTATAGTATGCTATATTATATGGTATACTATATTTTACTATTTTATATAATATATTATGGATAGTTTACTTTGCAAATCATGTGTAATAATCCATCTTTATATGTTCTCTAATTATATTATGTTATTTATGTCCTGGGAAGTGATTCAGACAAAAAATACTGTCCAACCTACATTTACCCATTTTTGGCCCCGACAACTTGTTTGACAAATGTCGCCAAACGTCCGGATAACTTTGAATTTTCAGAAAATTTTTTTCGCAGTTATGACAGCAGAGGAAAATTATTAAAATTCATGAAAGGACAGGCAAATCGGATCCTTTGTTCAGGAATGACGGATAAATATTTATAGGGGTGCGCTCATTGTGCGCACCCCCGGTAAAAATAGGGTTAAGTAATCGACTTCTTGAATTTTTCGCCTACACTATATATTGGGAAATGTCGACAACATTTCGGCTAAACAATAAATTGTGATTTTCAAGTTTCAACTACCTGTACGTACGTTGAAATCAAGTAGTCAAAAATACATAAAAAATAATAAACCTAACTTCCTCGGTTACATAGCGTTATTTGAAGGGCTAAATGGCCTTGCGTGCTCTTACTGATATTTATTTACTTAAAAAAACATGCGATTTTGCCAAATGTGCTTCATTCTTGTGTCAATTTTTTCGCGTATTATTGAACATATTTTGCACAAACTTAAGTCAAATCCAGATTTCCAAAACCTCATGTCCAGTTTCAAAAATATGACTTCCAAACCAGTCTTTATAGTGCAAAACATAAAGGAGTAAAATGAAAAGAATGGTATAGCTTAGTGCAACATTCACATTTTTCGCCCGCCATTTTTATTACGGGTTTTACTGATTCGGGCTTTTCTCATTCCGGGTTTTACAGATTCGGGCTTTTCTCCTTCCGGGATTTACAGATTCGGGCATTTCTCATTCCAGGTTTTACAGATTTCTCTTTCGGGTTTTCACATTCCCCATTCCATTCCCCATTCTATTCCCCCATTCCATTCCCCATTCCTTGTTTTATAGATAGCCGTCGCTATTATGTCCCTGGACATGGTGGTTGTGTACTTTTTTATATATGTAATAGTTTATTTCCAATCTCCATGAATTTTGTAGACGTAGACGAATGTATCTTGGATAAACATCAATGTTCAAAATACGCCATATGTAACAACACGATTGGTTCGTATGAGTGCACGTGTTATGACAATTTTGTTGGCGATGGGCTGACTTGCGCAGGTAACAAAATTTATTGGTACTTATGAATAGCTGATCTCATTTATCAGCTGCATCACATGAATTGCAAATGTAATCCAATATAATTTTAATACTGCGTGTAATTTCGGGGAAATTATATTACTTGCCTCTCGTAGATATAACAGGTCGACTTGAATTACGTACACACAAACTGTGTGTGCATATGCAAAAAGTTTACAATTAAAAAATCTCGTATTCTGCATGCAATTCGTATGCAATTAAACGCGCTGCAGAATGCCCTCTATTCAATATACAAAAATATTGACTACAAATATTATAAGTTCTGAAAAAGAGCTGGCTAAATCGATTAATATGGTGAGCCAGTGAGTGTACATGTGTCAAACCAATAGTTGTTTTACACGTGTCACTCGTGGTGTGAAATAAAATCTCGCTTATTGTAATAGGTTCTAGACGTTCTAAGCTTGCATTGGCACTACTCATATTTCGCAACGATGTTACAGATACGGTATTGCATATATGGATTATATATGTAGTATTCTAAATTCCATTGCTACATTTAATCATAATGCCATGCAAAAGGAACTTATACACTGCGTATTTAATGCATATTTACAGTATATATATATATATATATATATATATATATATATATATATATATATATATATATATATATATATATATATATATATATATATATATATATATATATATATATATACTGACAAATCAAAGGAATCTAACAAAAATTTGCAATAAATTTTAAAGAAGTGGATGTACGACAGTTTTCCGCTTGGCTATCAAGAGAAATAATGTTGGTGAGGTTGTCCATAATATAGTTGGTCTGATTTTAATTAAATAGTCGCAGACAGGCATCTTGGACAGGATTGTGGACTTCGAGTTCGCAATTTAGACGGAGGTTTTCGACTCAACGTTATTTTGTTATCCGTTATTTTGTTTTCCATTTTGCTCTAACTATGCATATGCGACATTTATATTTTGTAGTTGATGGTGTATTAGTGAACTTAGGCCTATAGTGGGAAAATAACGATAAGAACGGTTTTTCCGGGACTCCTGATCGCTTCTTCCTATCTGCGAGCTACGGGAAAAGCAGATAAAAAACAAGCGATTTCCGCAGCCAGTCGGTATGTATTTATTTAGCTTTGCCAACTAGGGCAGGGCCGCCACAAAAGCATAACACTACAAAAAAATGAAAATCTATAGAAGGTCATAGAACGGAATTATTGGAATTAGCATGGATTTTGGTTATCCATAATAATAGTTATTTCCATAGTATGGATATAGGATGGATATACTATGGATTTAGTGGTGCAATTGCAAGTTTCTAAGTATGTATTTTATTTTTTTCTTCCAGTGTAATGCAATTACTGTGGCCCTTTCATCTAACCCACCCTGTCGACATTCCATGTGAGAGAAAACGCGGAGAAAACCCATGACTTTCGCCAGAACATTGACTTTTACTCTTTTTACATGAGAACTGCCTTCGAGTCGCGACGAGAAAGTTCTCACTGGGACTTGAACCTGTGATCTTAGAGGCGAATCGGGCGAGTGTTCTAACAACTTTGCCACCAAAGCATCATGCACGAAAACAGTCAAAAGATCGTTTTTAAGTTACACTGCTTCTAAACTTAAAACCTGTTTCAGCTTCATTATAACTAAAGTGCACTCGAGTTTGGCAATTGCAAAATGTAGATTTATGTAAGAAATCTAAATACTTTCGAATCTCCGTAATTCACGTCCAATTTATTATGTAACAACAAACTAGTACTGTAATTGAAATATGCTAGCCCTCTCTATAGGGAGTTTTGTTATCTCCCAAAACCTGGGAGACATGTGATTTACCCGTACCAAGGTCTTTCCCCAGTGAGGTCGAAGAGCCTGAGTACGAGGTGCTTCGGCACTCGCCATTCAGCCTCCCTAACGGCCTTAATTTTATTGCCGAATTCAATGGTGCTTCTCCAACTTCCCATCTGCAGTGTTCTCTGAAGATTACCGTATCAGACTCGAGTGTTTTTTTATATTGAAAAGCGAATATCTACGCCCGGAAATGTGAATCTAAAAGGGAAACCAAGGTATTCATGTATAATTTAAAGTAGAACTGAAATGTACATTCAAAATATCCATTTAAAGTGCACACAAAACAATACTCACCATAGCGACCAAAATTTTCAGGAAAATGTGTTTTTTGAGTATTGAAGGGCGAACATCTCCGTTAACTAATTATCTCGAGCAAGGGAAACAGTGTTTTGTGGACTCGAGACATCGACGGTCCAAAAAACACACTGCTTTCCCGAGGTCTCAGTAAATAAGTTTTTTATTATATATCAAAATAATATTCAAAGAAACAACAAATTAAAGAACAAATGAACGTACGTAAATACATCAAATATCTTACTGTTAAAATGTTAAATTAAACTGTGCAGTTACCTAAACTGAAAGTATAAATTACTAGGCATGTCCGAAGGTCACATCTTCACGTGATGGCGCACGTGACTTTTTTCGTTATTCGCCGGTCGAGAACGTATTAATTGTTTCCCTCTCGCGCTGTTGCGAGGGAGACAGCCTAATTTCGTCACTATCACGTGATATGCTCTCGGCCAATAAAACACTAGAAAAATGCGACTTTGACTATTGATATGTAATAATGTTGTTTACACTGAATATCGTGCGGAATCGAATGGTATTTTCGGAAATTCCATCCACGGCGTATACATGTGTTGAAAATTGGTTAGTAAATCATTAGTGGTAATACAGTAACTTTAAGAGATCAAAGGACCTTAATTTCAGTTTTCTATATATTGAATCTGACCTATTAGAAGAAAGCGGAAGTAAATTTGTCGTTGAGTTGTTGTTCAAGATAAAAATGTTCAGATAGAATACGGGTAAATAAAGCGTTTTAAACATGATTTCTGGTGTAGATTTTACTTATTTTCGGTGTTGGATGCGATGCCTGATTCCCGACACAGAAAGTGGCGACCACGGCCGGAACACAAGCAGTTTGTGATCTTCAGATCAAAATAAAAATCGAAGCGAAGGTAGGTGTTCGTGGCAAGGACATTCAAGCGGACAATGTAAACAAGGTAAAACACTCGGGTATTTCTATAAACTAGACAGAGGATTTATAAATATCCCAACTAATATATGCAAATTTTCTCAGTTTGCTTAAAATAATCGCAATAATGTATGCAAATTTATACCGTTATACAGTACACTTGCCCTCAATTTTACGCTTTGTATGCTCTGAAAATACCGTTAAACCTCCTTTGAATGTCCACTGAATCCAATGTTTAAAGAATAGAGTTACACACCGTCCGATAACATCGAAGGGGATTTAGCCATACTGGGATGGTGAATAAGTTCTTTCTTTAAACATTCAATGTTTAAATATTCGTAATTCAAGGACGCATGAACTAAGTTTATTATACATTAATTATGGAAAAACATAACAAGGCTATGAAGCTTGCCGAAGCTAGTTTTGAGGAGATATCAACTTCTGTGGAAATGGAAGATCTAGGTGATATAGAATCAGGTTGCGAGTAGTTGTGCGAGCTGTTAAAGAAGCTTGATCTTTCCATTTAGAAAGCAAAGGAATCAAATGTTAGAAACAGAACAAACTGTTTCTCATATACTAGACTGGTCCAACGGGGTAAAAACAAAATCGAAAAAGTTTCGGGATTTGAAATCAAAATTAAAAGAGCCGTTAGCAAAGATACAAGTGGATCGAGACGAGCAATCTTGAAGAAGGAAATAGAAAAACAACACGCTATAAATGAGGAGAATGAAAGAGCTCGAAGACGTGAAAAGGATGAGATGGAAGAACTGGCAGTTCGATGGATCCCAAGAGAGTTGGAATGGCTTTTGCGCAAGCTGGAAATCGAGAAAGAAGCCAAGAAACAATTGCAGGAGAACACTTGGCCAACAACTGCTACTCAGATTGTGAAACTTCAAAAGTATACAATTACTCCATTCACAGGAGATTTCATAGACTGGACACGGTTTTTGAATCAATTTTCGGTCGAATTAGATAACTCGAGCATATCAGAAATTAGCAAGTTCAACTACCTTCTTGAACTAACGAAAGAGAAACCGCGTGAGGAAATTTTGGGTTTGCCACACACTAGTGATGGCTACATCGAAGCAAAGTGAATTTTACTCGAAGCATACGGCAAGGAAATAAAGGTGATAAAGCAATTATCCAAGAGATCGAGAGTCTACAACCGATTACGGAAATTCACAAGACAATAAGTATACGCGAGTTCTACAACAAACTTTCTCGGGCGGTGAGAACACTTACTACGATGAAAAAGTTGGATTCATCACAAAGCACTGTTTAAGCAGTTGTGGACAAACTCGGACCGGTTAGAGAAATCTTAGCAATGGCAGATGACAAATGGGAAGTGTGGAAACTGGAGGAGCTAACGGAAAATCTGCGAAAGTACGTCGAAAGAAATCCACTGCAGACACCGAACGGATCCGAATGAGGATAGGGTATTCCATAAGAAAAACAGGAAAGTCAGCACTAGGTGTGTATACTGTGGTAATGAAAGACACAAGAGTTCTAACTGTTTGAAAGTTTTGGCTGTGGCAAGTCGCCGAGAGATCTTGAAAAAGAACCGACTGTGTTACAACTTGTTTACATCATGTAAGTTTCTTTGACCATACTATTTTATAAACTAAATGTCTTAGGGGATGTTTATGTCGTTTATATGTGTGGGGGGGCCTGCTAGGTTGCTCGAGCAAGGTGGATTTGATAAGCTGATTTCACCCTGTGGCATGGTGGATCACTAAAACAAATCATGAACCTGAAATTCACAGTTTCGCAATAAGTTGTCATTGTGGTTATGACCCTCGTTGACAGAGACATTTTGTTTAAAATTATAGATCAAAATCTATCAGAGAAACTCCTATTTGCAACTATATGTTCAGTGGCTTAGGCGATCCAGACAGCCCATCCAGGCGAGATCCCATATAACTGCAACACGAACATTACAAGTTGCCCACAAGCAGACAGACATTGCATGGTCAAATACAGTATTTAGCGCAGCCAATTAGATTATCATTTAGCACAGTCCGGCAATAACACTGGCCTATAAACAGCCATCCAAATTCCAAAACATGGTGACTCCAAATTGCTGATTACTTTTTCATGGTTCGTCCCCGAACCGACGGCGCGAAGCGCCGTGCGATGGTACTAATCCTGCCACCCGGCTACTTACACCCGGGAAAACGAAAGCATTACCGAAGTCTAAAGTTCATCAATGATCGCGAGCGTGGCCCACCAACGATGTTTCGGTGGGTGGTCATCCTCACTGATCTCAAAATATGTGACGGACTGTCATGAATGGCGAACACTGATTGGTCCAATTTAAAGTTTGCATTATGACTACTGCATGGTGACAGCGAAATTATAGCAAGCATTTCTTGATTTGATGATTGATAAATTTCTTGCAATTTCAATTCATTTTTGCTCGCCTTTTTGCAAGATTTTGTAAATTTCAAAAGCTTTCTCAGAAAGGAAGAACGAAAGAATCGGCTAAAAGAAGGGAGCCGACGTTAACGAAGGTAAGTTCTTTTTAAATATTGATTTTATAATTGCTTTTAAACCCGACGGCCGTTGCGTATATGAAACAACTAAACAAGACAGCATATAATTTCACTTGCTTCAGTGTATCTTTAATATCCATTCCCTTTTTTATTATATTGAATTTTTTAAATAACAAAGAAAGCAAAGTTATTTGAATGCGCGAATTTGAAATCATTTTATTGCAAACTCAAGGTTAATCGTTAGAGGCATTTAATTGAAGGCGATTTGGTTTTTTAAAGAACACTTTTATAAAGCGTTTTGCGAAGCGTTTGTGCTTTAATTTTACCTTAACTTGAAGCTTATAATTATTGCGTATAATAACATACCTAACATAAATATGTTGCGAAATTGATAATTTTGTAATTAAAAGTGATATTTTTCGGCGATTTTTCATTTGTAAAAATATTCTTAAAAAATAATATGTTTTACCATGACGTCTACTTTAGATACTTCATGTTCGGAAAATGCAATGGTTTTGTCAGCAAGTCGAGCGTTTCTGCATGCTTGTATTTTCTAGTAAATAAAATGAATAGGACAATTCGTATATAACCATAGTGTATAATGGTGTACAAATATTAAAAATAATTTTTTATATACAGCTAGGGTGTATAAAAAAAAGCGCAATCCTCGACTGAAATGTAAATTGCTAAACAAATAATAGACGAAAACGTTAAAGTTTACATTCATTTTGAAGCGTAGCCATTCAGCTTTCTAACAGTGGGTTGTTTCTTAAATTTGACTCATTGGTTCGCGGGTAATAATACTTTACGTTATTGCGATTGGAGATTAAAAAAATTGAGATGGAATAACAAATCGTTCTCATGAAAATAACTGATTTTTTCATTAAAACAAAAAAATGTTGCATTTTATTAAATGGATTGTAACAATAAGTATAATTACGGCTTTTCTTCCACTATTTTTAACTCAGTTTGAAACTTCAAATGCGATATAATTTTGGCTTGGACCATCTAAGCTGACTGACATCAACTTGCTATAATATCTGTTTACATTACATCGCAATTCGATGACACTCTGGCTCAGACACTAGAATGTTTTGACGATTTTTAGCATTCGTTTAGGATTTTCAAACAACCTGGTCTCTTTTAAAATACTTTTAATTTGTTCTTACGTGGTTTTCCAGATGTAGTGACGACAACGTTAAAGTTTAAAGAAGAAAATTCTAACATTTAAACCGACTAAACAATAACATAGTAAACTTGCATAATTAAACAGCAACTAAAAATGATATTTTTTACTAAATCTTTTCCTGTGCAATTATTACTAGCATTGGAGACAAGGATAATAGTTTGTTTGAAAGAGAAAAGAACAGGCTTTGAAGTAAGCCTAAAAGCGTTTAACTAGAAATAGTATTTCGAAAGCTATTAAGCACAAAAAATGAATTGCGTTTATTTTAATACACCCTGCAGTGTATCAAAACCTCGATTGATGGGCTTCAACAAGCGATTTCACTGAAGGATCCGCAGTGAATGATGGTGAATAGCAGGTATTTTAGAAAGAATCTCCAATCCTTCTTGGATTCTTTTCTTGACAAAAATTAGTAGAAGCTTCAGGATGAACATATGACATGGGGAACGCAGAAACCACACGCTCTCGAACGAGAAAAACAATAAAGTAGATACACTTTGATACACATTGGATGCATCCCTGCTAGCGTAGTATTCTATCCTACTCATCACGTCGCCTCAAAAACTCGTGATTTGACCTATTCTCGCTCAAAAAAGCTCAGTATAGTTTGGAATCTTCTTCACTCCTTGGGCTATTTAAATTTCGCTTGCTATAAAAACAACGCGCGTGTTTATTGCCAGAGATGAGACTGGACCGAGCATAAACCGAGATGCTGAATTCCAGTGGAGTCCCCAGGCAAAAACAATCGCAGACATGCGCAGAAGGGACTGTAACATACCTATAACCAATAATGGTAAGAGTTTAGTTTTTATATTGATAGTTTAGCCTTAAAAACCTATTAATTTAATGTAAAATTTTCTCGTGTACTGTGTAGGAACTTGCGGTGATGTCACGTCAAGTATTTTTGCAAGTATGTTTTGGAAGTATGTTGTATCCGGTCTCAGTTGATTTTGCACTTCATTATGTTGGCCTAGTGAAAACGACCTAACAACAACAACCACTCACGAAGGCGAAAACATAATTGTGGATGTATAAACGTTGTTTGATCTTATTCATGCAGTGGCCTATCTATTGACATGGTGCGCAGAAAAAATATGACTTAAATTATTGCGTAGGAAATTATTGTGCTTGTTCTATGTATTGGATTGCAAACATATTTTTTTAAATATGAAGGCTTTAGTTTGCTTAGCATTTTAAGTGATTGTATTCATTTGCCTTTATTTGAACAGGTAATGAGTTGGTGGGTCTTAGAAATTTTCATTTCAATAATGACTTAACTTTTCACATTTTTTTATTAAAAAATATTTAAATTCTGCGGAAAATATCTGATTCTCATGTTTCAAAATCGTCAAAACAATGAATGACCCTAAAAACGCTGTTACATACACTATGCAACTTGTCTCGCAATTTTGTCGCAGCTAGCGTTGCATATACGAAGTTGAATCAGGTTCTACTTTCCGCAGCAAACGCTTGCTGCAACAAAAATATCGCTTGACTTGATGATTGCGATGTATGTTACACCATCCAATTTTGGTAATGTATGTTAACCTTGTAATTGCGACACAAGTTGCAAGGCAAGTTTCATAATGCAACAGTCCTTTAAGAAACAAGGATTTCAGTGACCTGCAACCTACTTAGGAGAATTGATCCTCCAAAATATAGCGGGCCTGATGATATCCCAAACTGGTTGTGTAAAACGTATGCCTATATGCTCGCAAAACCATTTGTAATGTTGTTTCAATTCTTCTTTCGATGAACAGAGATTACCGTCAATGTGGAAACATGTTGACATCATCCCATTCCAGAAGGTAAAACCAGCCACTGATGTCAACAAACATTTGCGACCTATCTCCCTGATGGTATCAGTCTCTAAAGTTGTAGAAGAATTTGTTATCTCGAAGTACATAGCGCCTGCTATATTGAATACATCAAATCTGGATCATTGCACGGCCCTAATCTCAATGATCATGAATGGTACAAAGCTACAGACAAATCTGGCGCGACAGTCAGAATAACTCTTTCAGAATATAGAAAAGCATCTTACCTAGTTGACCACTCCATTCTAATAAAAAAAACACCAAAACCTGACGTCATTATCCCGAAAGGGGGGCTCCTGGATAACCGACTTTTGTCCAACAGATATCAAAGAGTGAAACTCGCCGACGCCCCCTTTTTTGTGGAGACACGTCCCCTTAGGATTACCCCAAGGATCTAAGTTAAGCCCATGGCTATTTCTCCTAACAGTGAATGACCTACGTGTGAAAAGCATCAGTACGTGGAAGTTTATTGACGACACGACAATTTCGGAGATCATTCCAAAGAATTCCCTCATCCACACTCAATTCACTGCCACGTCTGTTGAGAAATGGGCAGCAGACAACAAACTGCACTTGAACGCAGAAAAATGCAAGGATCTGAGGATCGGCTTCAAGCGTGTTCATCAGGAGAATGGCCTAATTAGAGTAGATAACGTTCCACTCAAAATAGTGGACCACACAAATATTCTGGGCCTGATAGTCTCGAACTCATTACAATGGAACATCCATGTCGACCATGTTATTAGAAAAGCCAAAAAATTCCTCTATTGTCTGGTCCAACTCAAACGTGTGAGTTTTCCTGAGGCAGATATTGGTAGCCTTTATTGTACCTGTATTAGACCCAATCTCGAATACCTATCACGGGTATCTCGCCACTCTTTACCAAAGTACTTGTCTGACGATCTTGAGCGGATGCAAAAACGATCATTGGCTATAATTTACAGGGAACAGCCATATTCAGAGACTGAAGCAATCTGGACGAAACTCCTTATCTGTCCGAAGACTATCAACAGACAGTGACCAAATATCAACAGACACTACCAACAGACAGTAATCATATATCAACAGACAGTGACCAAAAATCCATGCTCTGTTGCCGCCAATAGACCAAACGAAATATAATTTATGACACAAACGCCTCTATGATCTTCCAATGAACAACCCTAACCGCTTTAGGAACACTTTTGTACCATCCATGATATACTGTAATAATTGAGTAGACTAACATGTCTAACATTTAAAGTTATATACTATTGTAAAAAACTACGTAATTCAGCCAACGTAGCTACAAAGTAGCTTTTAGCATAATATGTATGTATCTCAGTTCCCAGCAACTGTTGTAATTCGTAATTTCTCGTTAGGTTGATCATGTTTCGCCACGAAGCTTTCTATCCAGTCTTTTTTACTATTGATGATTAAATCTTCCGTCGTATGAGAACTATTTAGTTGTAGTGTGAACAAATAGTGAAGTTGAAAAGCAAAGAGCAATGCTTTATCAACCTCGTACCAAGGCCTTTGCGCTGTTAGGAGGCTCTGGTATGGGAAGCAAAGGCTCTGGTAAACACTGGTCACGTGACTCCAAAAATACCGGACGTTTCCAATAATTTAGTTTCCAAACCGGGGGAGCGGAGCCGATTGATTAGTCAAACATGGCAGTGCGAAGGCGCGACGTTTTCGATTTTAATTATTTAAATGATAAATATGAATTTCCTAGTGAGATTTAAGAATGGATATATATTTAAACTATGCATTCTTCGAGCTTTATTTCAGAAAATTGTGGAATAAATAACGGTAATACTTATCAAAGATCCAGACACAGGGAGTCCAACTAAGAGCTGTGTTATGAATATGAATAAAACATATTAATTAAACGTAATATGAATAAAACATCATAACGTAATATATTTAAATTATTGCACTTACTTGTATAAATCATAAGAGCTTGCATTTACAGTGAATAGCTTCAAACAGGACGGTTATATATGCTCAGAAACATTGCTTCAACGATTGTTCAAATATGGCGAATAAATTGAATAAACGAGAATATCACATGACGTTCCAACGAAAATAACAGCAAGGATTGCGGGCGCGAGCGGAAAGCGAGGGTAATATATGTTAATAGAAGGGATGAAACATCGGTAATGCGATCGTGTGATGCGTTCCATAAGTAGCCTGTTCTCCCGGAGAATTCCAAAACGCCTCCTGCCAACTCCAACAACACCTACGCGTTTAATTAATGAAAATACACAATGTTTAGCTCTACCGGCTAATATGAAATATTTAAATGTCGCTACCAACGGTTTTTTTTTCATTTTTTAGTTAATATATTATAATTTAGTCATACGTCACGAGAACAGGCTACCTGTGGAGCACATCTCGCGAAAACGACCAAGAATGCTCGCTGTTATAAATCACATAAATTAGATTGATCAGTGGGTTTTTGGTAATGATAGGCTTGTTCATGTAAGAGAACATCTACTGAGCCCTAAAAATACCACAAAAAGCTTTAAGGTATAGTCTAGAAGAATTTTAAAGTCACATGATATTTGTTTCATACCTTCTATTTATTTCTTCCCTCCCTTTTCGCTCGCGCCCTCACTCCTTGCTGTTATTTTCGTTGGAACGTCATGTAATATTTTCGTTTTGTCAATTTATTCGCAATATGTGAACAATCGTTTGAAGCAATGTTTCTGAGCAGATATAAGCGCCCTGTTTGAAGCTATTCGCTGTATATGCAAGCTCTTATGATTTATTCAAGTAAGTGCAATAATTTAAATATATTACGTTATGATATTTTATTCATATTACGTTTAATTAAAATGTTTTATTGATATTCATAACACTGCTCTTAGTTTGCAGTGGCGGAAATCTTGGTGGGGCGCCTCCCCCGCCCCCCTTTACGGAAAGTTGACGAATTTTCGGAAATTTTGACTTAAAAGAGCGCTAAAAACAGTCTTTTCGAGTGCAAATGGGGGGAGGGGGGGGTTGGGGTTATGTCGGAAATTTGAGAGCTTTGTCGGAAATTTTGGAGGCTTTACCATCCCCCACCGGAAAAAGTGAATTTCTACCACTGTTAGTTTGACCCCCTGTGATCCAGGATCAAACTGAGAGGAAACTAATAGCGAGTACTTATAATGTAGTAAGTCAAACTCAAATTTTGTAAACCAGGGGAGTGTGCCTTTTCCAACAAACTAAAAATGGCTTCTGCACGAGATTTAATCGCATTTTGAGTTAGTGGGTCAAAAATGTGTTTGGTGTTTAATTGCCATACGAAATTTCGAACAATTTATTTTAGTTTAAGGCCTTTGACTATTCACGCAAACTTTGCATTGTTCCCTAAAAAATCCGCCTTTTGAACGCTTATAATTAATGCATTTTCCTAATTTGCATATGTCGGCAATATGCAAATTGCAGTAGGTTAATTCAATGGGATTTGTGGCACATCACCTATTATAAATGCTTAGTAAGGACTCGATATGTCAGCGAATTTAAGACTATCCTGGGCTGGCGACTTTGATCGTTTGAAGGAGTTTGTAAAGAGTGACCTAGAGTTGCAGGGAAGCTGGTCATCCCCGGCGAACGAGAAAAAACTTTTCGTGTCAGACAACGTTGAGTTGCTTTGGTGGAAAAACAAAAAGTTCCTAAAGATCAATGGAGAGGATGCAAATCGAATCAAACGTTGTATGATCAACGCTATGTTTACGAGTTTAAACCTCGATAGTATCAAGTCTGGTGTGGACATGGCTACTAACACCGAGAACTCCTTAAACGAAAACCAACCAACAAAACACCAGTGTACGGGTTGTGAATGTTCGAAGCTATCACCAGACTTGGAGGGTTTGAAATTAGACTTGGTTGTTTTGGAATCGAAACTCAACCATAAAATCCAAGCCGTGGAAAACCAAATATTACGCATGAACGATTGCCGACCAAAAGAGCTGAAAAATCATGCAAATCTCGAAAATATGTTGACAACCTCTACACCCATTAGCAGCGGCGGCACGAACAAAACAAAAGAGGTTAGTAATTCAAATCCTCACATTAATCCCGTTGTTGTTCGGACCGCTAACGATGCATGCTTCACACCAATAAAAGTACCGGATAACACAGAAACTTTTATGGCCATAGATCAGTCATGCGAGAAAACGTTACACCATGATTTGGTGCCATTGCCAAAATCCATCAATCACTCACAAGAGGAATTAACCCTGACAAAGGTAGTTTTCCCTGTTAGGAACAATAGTGAACAGTCGAAAATAGGCGAGCTTTCCCATACGGGAAGCCGTACAAATCCTATTCAAAAAGAACAAAGCTGTCATTATAATGTTCCTGGTAGGCAATCTTGCTCTAGTTATTTACATGATCGTGGTCAACAATTTCGAAGCATTCCAGTACGTATCACTCACCGTCCACTGCCAGTGAACCCAGAGAAAGTAAATAAACATAGACGTGCGTACCGGAGTCAGGTTTTTCGACATCGACATCAGACGGACTGGCTCAGGCATCTGGAGCTGGTCCGCAAAGTAATTCGGTCATAAACTGTTTCTATTCTAACCTAATTGTTGTGCCTACGGTCCCTTCTACTTCTAAATGTGAACTTACAAACTTATTTGATTTTTCCCTTCTTAATGCCAGATCGGTTAGAAACAAGACTATGATTATTAAAGATTTTGTTGTGGATAAAGATACTGATATTCTTGCTTTGACGGAAACTTGGCTCCCTCCAAGTGGGAACGATTTGATTATTGGGGATCTATGCCCAACAGGTTATAGTTTTCTGCATACACCGAGACATGGATCAATCGGTGGGGGCGTTGGTCTCTTATTCAAGGAAAGTCTTAATATTAAGCGTAATGTACAGGAGGTATTTAGGTCATTTGAATACCTTGACAGTTCTTTTTTGAACTTTCTACATATTAGAATTATTGTTGTATATCGGCCGCCTCCTTCATCGGCTAACTCATTGACATCTACTCTATTCTTTGAAGAGTTCTCATCCTTTTTGGAAGGAATTATTGTATCACCCGGGCAACTCTTGATAGCTGGAGATTTCAATTTTCATCTGGACAATCCTAATGACCCTCTTACCAAACGGTTCGTGGATCTTCTCGCTTCCTTTGATTTGAAGCAGTACATTTCTGGATCAACACATGCAAGTGGTCACACACTGGATTTAATTATAACGCGATCTGAAGAAAACATTGTTAACCATTACAACATCTTCGATCCTCTGATTTCTGATCATTCAGTTGTGCATTTACAACTATTGATTAGGAAACCGAAGTTTGTGAAGAAACATTTGCTTCTTCGTAATTTGCGGGCGGTTAATATTCATAAATTCAAAACGGATGTACTAAATTCTTTTCTTCTTAAGAATTTTACGACTATGGATTTGGTATCATTGGTGAATGAGTATGATTGTCTTCATACTATCTTAGATAACCATGCACCGATTAAATCCCGGGAAATTACATTGCGCCCTAAGGCACCCTGGTATACTAACGAAATCAATGATAAGAAACGAATTCGGAGACAACTTGAGAGAAAATGGCATAAAACAAGGACGAATGCTGATTGGAATCGCTATAAACAACAATGTTATGCTGTAAATAAACTTATCGACTCCTCAAAATCGGCTTACTATACCGACTTAATTAATAATGGATCATCTGATCAAAAAACCCTTTTCAAGACTGTAAGCAATTTGCTGCATACAAATACGATTATTCGCTATCCATCTTCTCCTGACCCAATGTCACTTGCCAACTCATTTAGTGATTTCTTCACTCAGAAAATTGTTAAAATACGAGGTGATATCGAAGATGAACTCTTGAGTAAAAACATAGAAAATCCTATACCTGATGCTGATTCATGTCCTTATGAATTTCACACCTTCAGGGAGGTTGGAAAAGACGAAGTGCTCCATTTAATCCAACGTATCGCAACTAAATCCTGTTCTCTGGATCCACTCCCGGTGGTCATGCTAAATCACTGTTTTAAAGACATCTTACCCGTTGTAGTTAGAATAATCAACCTCTCCTTGGAAAGTGGTACAATGCCTGACTCTTTGAAGATTGCTGTTGTTCAACCGCTATTAAAAAAGTACAATCTTTCCTATGAAGAATTCTGCAGTTTTCGTCCAATATCAAATCTGAAATTTGTCTCGAAATCTATTGAGAAAGCAGTTGCTGTACAATTAACTGATTATCTTACTGAAAATCATCTACATGAGAAATTCCAGTCTGCTTATAAACCTTGTCATAGTACTGAAACAGCGCTATTGAGGGTTCAAAATGATATCCTTCAAGCTCTAGATAACGGTGATTCTGTTATTCTTGTCCTACTGGATCTGTCGGCGGCTTTTGACACCGTGGATCATTTAATGTTATTAACAAGACTATCGAAACGCTTTGGCATAAGGGGTCGTGTGTTGGATTGGCTTACCTCATACCTTACATCCAGGAAACTGTTTATTCGTGTTGAGGGAACTGATTCGTTATTGAGTGATCTTGATTGTGGTGTACCTCAGGGATCTGTGTTGGGTCCTCTGTTGTATTCACTCTATACTGCCCCTCTCGCGGATGTGGCTAGGCGCCACAATCTGCGCTTTCACTTTTTTTCTGATGATGGGCAACTTTACATTGCATTCAAAACGAATGATCGTGATGATTTAATATCATCTAAGATCCGTATGGAGAAATGTATACTTGAATTGGGAAACTGGTTGATGTTGAATAAATTGAAACTAAATAGTGGCAAAACGGAGCTTATATTAGTCCATTCACGCTATCATCTGATGCCTCCCTTAAATTATATCATGGTGGGAAAGGAAAAAATTGTGCCAACTGTTTCAGCAAGAAATCTGGGGGTGATTTTTGATGAGTGGATCAGATTGGGCGAACATATTAATGGTATCTGCAAGTCAGCTTACTACCATATTAGGAATATTTCAAGAATTAAGAAGTATCTACCTCGAAATTGCTTAGAAATAATTATTCATGCATTTATAACTTCAAGACTGGATTATTGTAACTCCCTGTTGTATGGTGTACCCAAATATTTGCTTCAGAAGCTTCAGAGAGTCCAAAATACTGCAGCTCGTTTACTAACTGATACTAAGAAATCGGCGCATATCACCCCAGTTCTTATCGAATTGCATTGGTTACCTGTCCAATACCGTATTCAATTCAAGATTATACTTCTTGTCTACAAAGCTGTTAATGATCTTGCTCCATCGTATCTGAAGGAACTTATGCTGTGTCGTACTTCGCAGCGTACTCTTCGATCAAATGGAAATGAATTGCTCCAGATTCCTTATTCTAGACTAAAGACATACGGAGACAGATCGTTCTGTGTTGCTGGACCAAGATTGTGGAATGATTTACCTGTTCATCTTCGGATGTGTGAATCATTAACCATTTTTAAGAAGTTTCTTAAAACATATCTTTTTAACTTGTTTTTAAATAGTGTATGATGTATTCTATAGTTTTAACATTCTTAACACTAGTTTTAAGATTGGATTTTGTATTACTGTAAAGCGCCTAGAACAGTCTTGGTTTGTGCGCTATATAAATGTTTATTATTATTATTATTATTATTATAAGGCATTATTGAAGCATACGAAGGGGTGGGTTTTTTAGGAAATTATGAATAGTTGAAGGGCTTAAGCTAAAACAAATTGTCTTAAATTTTCTACAATAATTAAAACCCAACATTTTCCATCCATTAACTCTAAATACGATTAACATAGAACTATATACTTTTAGAACTTTATCCCGACGATGACGCAAAGACTGATCAAACCAGCATAATGGCTGAACACGTTTTCCATAACACTAAAATGATTGATAAATCAAACCATTGGTCAGATTTGCAGTATCAGAATTCCCTCTCCTTTTAAAGATACAAATCTGAACATAAGCATGGAATTATGGCTTCTAATTAATTCGTTAATAATCAACCTAATATATAATCAAAAATAATTCGTTAATAATCAAACGTGATGCTTCTTGATTCACAGCGAATTTTGTTGAGTGAAATTACAGATCTTGAGATGGTTGCGTATGTTCATGCTTGTTTAGCCGGTTTTCCACTAGGCGGAATTTTGCGCGCGGAGCGGAATTTCTCTTTGTCTTTTCTAATTATTTCCACCCGAGAAATCACAAGACAAAGAAAAATTCCGCTCCGCGCGCAAAATTCCGCCTAGTGGCTTTAGGTAGTCGTCGTTGGTGTGATGTGCAGTTGAGCTCCGCTTGCCAACGAAATGCACGCTAAAAAATTGGGTACCATTCAATTCACAATTATAATATTCAGTAAAAGAACCTGTTGGCCTCGCACATAAGACAAGTTAATAAAAAACGTGTCACCTATATCATTTTATTATCAATTACCTCGCATTCACCAAAAGCCAAACTCAACCAGGTTGATAAAATCAGGATTTTCGACAAAATCTTTCCAGGCGTCATTTTCAAAAATGTTCTCAAACACGTTGTACCTTCTGCCTTCACTTCCTTAAGAGACGTAATAATAATTATGCATCTACCTATTGTGCCCAGTTTTATTGTCTGCGCCTCTTGACAATTAACCTATGAAAAAAGGGTTTTCAAAAGAGCGTTTTAATTTAAATACATGCAGAGTTTCTATGCATGATAAACAATAACGCGTTCCAAACTATCTTTGCATTTTCCAAAATTCAGTTTTTTGGCTATTTTCCTCTCATTTTGCAGATTTTGTGCTAATTTTCCGCAAAATATAAAAAAACGTTTTAAAAATGTTTGTATGGCTTTGTACTATCTGTAAAATAAGTCGAAAAAATTGATATTTGAGAAAAAAGCATGATGCAAAATCACGCTTAAAGCGCGAAAACTGTTTCCATAGAAAAACTCGTCAACATAAACAATCGTTTTCAAAAAATCTTGCTGACCTTGAATTTTTTTCTGCAGAAAAAGAGGATACGGACAACGAAGAATTACGAATAAGCAAATTACTATACATTATCTTGGAAATGCGAAAATATAGATGCACCTTATCAAGCATAAAATTTTAAAGACAATGAGATGCTCCAATTAAAATATACAATTTCCGAAATATACCAACGATTTCTGAAACCCTGTATACCTCGAATATATTTAAAAGTTTAAACTGCAGAGACTGGTAGTCCAAAGTATCAGAAATTCTGATACTTTTGAAATCGTCTGTATCTCAAATATACTTAAAAGTGCAGAGACAGGTAGTTCAAAATACCAGAAATTCTGATACTTTTGAAATCCTCCCTATCTCAAATTTACTTAAAATTGCAGACTGGCAGTCCAAAGTATCAGAAATTCTGATACTTTTGAAATCCTCTGCACTGTATGTCAAATATACTTAAAATTGCAGACCGGTAGTCCAAAGTATCAGAAATTCTGATACTTTTCAAATCCCTTATATGTGAAATATACTTAAAACTGCAGACAACGTGAATTAGTCTCAGAAACCTGGTGTGTACCGCATTCCTTGTGAATGTGGTCCAGTTTATATTGGTGAACTTGGTCGAAAT